TTTTATTCCAGTGAACTAAATGCAAAATAAATATGTTCCTAATGCACCCGAGAGCGCTATCGAATAGTTACCATAAGATACTGGGGTATGGCGCCGATAACGTACTCAATACTGCGCCAAACAAAAGTTTTTTTTATTACGAATGGGACTAAAAAAAGTGAGGGTTGAGGGGAGAGTGAATAAGTTTAATTCTCTCAGGAGCTAGTACCGCCTCTTATCTCAGTCCTAGGGGATGTCGCCCCCGTTTCCTGCGATAGCATTCACTCGAAAATTGACAGACTAAATCTCGCGGTAGCTGAGTAGTTATTGGCAAAGAAAGCGCCATGCAAGCAAACAGTGGGTTTCTACAGTCAATTTGCATCGTAATCCCGCCATAGAAAAATCAGTACATATGGTTGCCTTTGACACGATGAAATGTGCCCCGGTAGCGTAACTGGTAGCGCACTTGCCCGGAAAGCGAGAGGTGCGGGTTCTAGTCCCGCCTGGGGCGAAAGTTTTGTTCACAACCCAGCATTCTTGTGAAACATTCGCAAGGCGAACTGCGGCCAAAACAGCAGTTAACAAACAAAACAAGTCAAAATATTCCAAAGCTTTTTGATTTTGCATGTGGCGATATTGCTTAGCAACCTCTTACGGCCTGAGATAATTTCAACGTGTTGTCAAATGATATTTGGAAGATATATCTGACTCTCCGGGAAGGGATGAGTGCCAGCAACACCCTTATGCTTGCCAGCTCCAGTGGGGTTTGAAACTAGGGAGTGGGCCCGAATCTTTCATCTATCACCGTGAAAAAATCACCACATCCCTGATTGTTAGGAAAACCACATCAGAGGTACCCTGGAGAGATCCTGCCATCTAAACCTGAAACGAAAAATCACCTTAAGAATGCCACATCACCCGAAACTGCAGTTTTCAAGACAATGCAACTTACATTTTTGTAATTTTTAGTTTCACTCTCTGTGGAGCACTATTGCTATTTCTCCAAGACAGTTCGGATGCGATGCTGGAAATGGCAAAAATTGGAATGTACCTGAGAAGACGGAGAAATGGTGTTTATTATAAGTCTATTGACTTCGCCGGCAGCACCGTATTCGTGCTGTTCGCCGCTAACTGGTGAGTAGATGGTGTTTCCAAAACCCGTGCAGCTTTTAGGGAAACGTTTTACACTTTATGCAGTGCCTGGAAAGCAGGGGAATGTCACAAGGGGATCTGGGAAAAAAGGGTTAGGCAACCAGAAAAAAAGGATAAAGCCTCGAACTGAACATTTTCCTTTGGATGCGTCCGCCTTTACATTCTCCATTCAGATCGTAGGGCATTTGAATGTGATATGGTTTTTACAGTGAGTTGCAAGGTCCAACAGATGTGCAAGTCAGTGTCACTATCACAGGATACGGGGAAATCCTCCAGGATAAGCCTACGAGTGGTAGGAAGTTGGGAAGTCTGCCTGAAGCTTACGATTAGCCCTTTTTAGCTCAAAGATCTCCTTCGTGTGGTTTGAATGCATTGCCACCGCAATGCCCCCGCATTTTGCGATTGCGCCCGCTCCCATATAAGTTTGGTACGAGGCTCAGTGAAATAAAGACAAATTACTACAAGCAGTCAATGTTCAGCAACAGAAGAGGAAATACAATGAAAAATAGGAAATCCATAAGGGTAATTAAGTTTTTTTCCTACATGAGCACGTGTTCTAGGCTCCACTCATCGAGATTGAAGGCACGCTTCGCGATCAAAGTGATGTGGTACTTCCACATGAATATGAAAATAGGGTGCGAAGTGTACCGAATGTGAAGCAGAAAGTAAAAGAACCCAGCAAACATGCTGAAACTAACCATAAGGGCTACTTCAGTTTTCTCACTCGAATGTGTGAAGTAATTGAGACATTGAGCACATAGGAGAGAGCATAGACGAGAGTGCACAAAGGAAAAGAGGGTGCAGACACCCGCCTGTTGCGGACGAGAAGCGGTCGAAGCTGTATTCGCACGGCTCCAGCGCCTTTGCGATGCACTTTCGAGCTAAGAGAATGAGATATCTGCAACTTTGTAGGGCAGCTCTCTCCTATCCAACGAAAAGGTTGATCACCTGAGCTCATCGTGGGGAAGGATTCATACCAATCTTAGACCGTCAAACAATTCCATTGCGAATTAGAGCAAGCATTGATCGTGAGAGCAGTTGACAGTCTTTCCACCAAACACAAGAACTTTTCAAGTGGTTAGCAAACTCTTCTCCCTCCTTCTCCCCCCCCCCCCTTTAATAGATGAGGCGATGATAATCGAGTTCTCTCCCCGAGGGTATGCCATAGCGGCTCTGTGCATGCAGACGTGAAATCGTTTTTCAACCCTTTAATTCAGTTTTTTTTGAATTTGAATCTGTTCAAGGGTTCTGTGTCGTCTATATTGGTATCCATGCAAACTGCTCTACGGTACGCTATACGGAGCTGTATATCTTGGACCTCAGGATGCGTCATCTTTTCCCGTGCTTGGATTGATGCTGATTCTAATCTACGCCATGAATATTTATTGGTTCAATGTAAGTCTTCGAATTTGTTCTAGACCGGCTTAAAAATGCCAGCCACGAACGTAGAATGTCCTAAGTGTATCATTCATTATTCTTACTCATCACCTCGGATGTGATAGGTATTCGATGAACGATCGAGGAGTATAGAAACAGCTTCACAGACTTATAAAATCCACTAGGAGAGGGTACGACAGGTGTACCATCGCGCAGCGAGAAGACAGAGACGCAGACTCGTCAGCGGACGAGTCGCAGCGCGTATTGTGCGATGTGGGACGTTCTATTGTACATTCTATTCGAATTGACGCTGAATCGCTACAGTACGCGCTGCGACTCGTCCGCTGACCCGTCTGCGTCTGCCTTCTCGCCGCGCGACGGGCCTCATGTCGG